GAGAGGCAGTGAGAGGCAGTGAGAGGCAGTGAGAGGCAGTGAGAGGCAGTGAGAGGCAGTGAGAGGCAGTCAAATAGAAGGACAACTAAAACTTAGGCAATAAGCAAAGGATGCAATGACTCATACATCAGACTGTATCGGAGAGAGGGTAAGATAATTTGGGCAGTACAGTATTGAGGCGATGATAGCCGGGCACAGGAACTAGAGGGCAGTGCTGATTGGGGAACCGAATAGGTAGGCTGTCAAATGAGATTGGAGGCAGTGGGCCGCGATAAAATGAGTGAGCCTCTCTCTTTCTCTCTCTCTCTATATATATACATATATATATATATATATATACATATCCCAAAGATATAATAGCAGGCCTTTTGTGTCTAAACCTTAGGTTGGTTTTTAATAGTCAATTTACTATGCCAACCTCTCACGTTTGACCCAGACATTTGTGAGTATTTGTACTATTGTCTCTCATGTTGTGTGGCTAAGCGACTGGTTGAGGGCGCGGTGACTTAGACTCGGTCACGTGTATGACGTGCATAATAAGAGGCTGAGTAATCAGTTGTTTAATAGTCCTTACTATAAAGGAAATAATATCTGGCACTCACGTGTCTGCATTTTCAAGGGGAAGTGACACAGTTCAGGACCTCAAAGTGAGTCCGCATCAATTACCATAATGCATTGTTTCCAAGACAAGGCAGATAGATCAGAAGCCGGGGTATAATTAAGTAACGGACATTCCAGTAAATTCGCATCGGTGAAAAGTTGTCTTATAAATGGTGGCTTGAATCATAAGTGTTTGGTTAAAATGGGGGGAACAAATATGCATTTCGCAGCTAGTTGGAAGTTATAATGAGAGAGGAATCATTTGTAATAGGTGGTGAAAAAAAATGAATGGATCGCTTGAGGGCCTACGTTTATGGCTGGTGCGCTTAGTCAAAATAAGAACAACAAATATTGGTTTCAAAAGGCTAAACAGGATCTAAAATTGTACAGATGCGTGCCTCAGTTGTCTAAAAAGACCATTTTCTACAAGATGTTAACATTTGCAGCGGATGAAGCAAGAATAGAAGGAAATAATATAATTTTGTCCATTCTTTGATGGCTTAGGATAAGACAGTCTGGAATAGCGCTCGAGTGAGACTTGCACTTGGCTTTTATGGAGTGTATATATGAGGTGGCAAGTCGATCTCTAATTATAATTGTGTTTACCCCAGGTCGTACAAGGTAATGAGATACTAAAAGTTGAATTTTCCCACTATCGTGAGTAAGTCTTACTTTCCCAATGAGATTCGCATGGCCTTGATTACCAAAAGGCATTAGCACCCAAAACAGGCCTCATCAACATCTAAAGCGAGCACTTGCAGCAGTGTAGAGTAAGTGGTAACGTGCCGAGACTGCGTGCTGCACTATCCGAATTCAAAGTCTGCTAGGGATACTGATAGGAGAGGTCGAAACTGCAGCCCGCCTTATATAAGAATATATATTGGGAAGGAAGGGAATGTAAATTTCAATGTAAGCGTAAGGATAACTCATATAATTCTGGAAAAATTTAACTAGCAGTCTTTCAATAACTTATACAACCAAGGCTGAATACAGTTGTTATAAGACAATTTTGCTCATCAAACCTGACAAGCAAAATAAAACCAAATAAAAACATGTACATCCGTCGTAAGAGCCGAAGCATCTAACTTGCTAATCTGAAAAAAGTTAGCTCCTATTGCATAATATAGCAGATGATGTCAAATAACAACTGGAATTATATATGAAGAGAAGATGCGTTTTGAGGAAGCCCTTAATACAGTGATTCCCAAACTTTGCGCAGCGGCGCCCCGGGGAGCCGCGGCCTCTTTACAAGGGCGCCGCAAAATATTGTAAAAGCTTCAATTTGAGAAAATGTGCAGAGATTTGCAAGCTCATCCATCACAATTATTATTAAATATTAATTGAATGTCATAAAGTAAAAAAATAATGAAGATACATGTGTTTTATTTCTATTTATCTCTTACTTACGAATAGTCATACTAAGGGTGGGGTGCCATAAAAAAAATTAATTAAAAAAGAGCGCCGTGACTAGGAAAAGTATGGGAACCACTGCCTTAATAGATGGATACTGGTGTACCTTTTATTTCGTTTGAGAAGGCGGGTCGAAGGGATTCTTAGATTGGCCTCATCGGATATCGCAGGAGGGTTGCCTTCGACTTTTGTCTGTTGAATTGTGCGAAAAAGACCTCGGTTCACCGTCTTACGACCCCGATGACTCTGTGCTGAGCTTTTGTTCGTCCTGCGAGGGACATAGTCCGAGCCAGGAACCATTATTCACGAAAATCACAGAAAATACATTAAACCGAAGAAGATGGGCAGCTGAGATAATACTTACTTCTTATACATAATTTTGCGATCTTAATAAGGCATTCCATGATTTGGATGGCTGACGTATGCTTGTCATACATGCATGCAAGTGGGTCAAAATCAGGCAGGCAGGAAAGCGGATCTAGTCACAACTTTTGTCAATACAAATAACCTAGAGTTTTATCCAGTTATCCTGGGTCTTGTTACAGCTTCGTGGATGCGTGTGTATGCAACAACCCCGAGTTGGTTGACAATTTTAGGTTCAAAAACAAGCTCCAGCTTAGTCTAGTCTTCTTCTCTTACTCAGTGGCTCCTCCTGTTTCCTTTCCTTCTCTCTATCCCTCATTCTATTTAGAAGCCAGAGGTAGTTCTTATTTCGTTTCCTGCATCCATTCATCTTATTCAGGATGTGGTTTGTTTTGTTAATTTCAATCGACTACCTGATCTTCAGCTTAGCTGTGAAGTCCCCATATCCGGCAAAACTTTGGGATTTAGACCACTCTATCTAGTGTCCTGTAGCGACCACATGTTCAGCTACTTCCGATTTCTGAATCAAAAAGCCTTTGCAGGAGGTTATGTGTTGTGATAGCCTCTTTTAAATGGGTCGACAAGTCTCCCAACATAAACACTACCACATGAGCACAAAACCTTATAACAACCTGATATACAGGGGGCGTCGAAAGATTCTCTAAAAGAAGGCATGATCGAGTAAAGTGCTATTGCTTCTTTATACATTGTCTTGGCACTCCCATTTCCTCAATAATTCGCCTATCTTTCTTGAAAGCTTGCAGGATGGTAGCATTAGGAACCTGGATGAAGAGTTGTGTAATTCTAAGTTTTGGCAAAAATAATAGTTTTACTTCACCCGATTCTCAATATTTTGAAATTAATAATAATTAATCATACAGGTTAATTGTTCTCAACTAACATCTATCTTAGTCTTTCTAACTCCTGTTCTTAATGGCTTACGTTTGCTAGGCGTAAACTCTTTATTATCATTGATTTCATTACGCCTACCATAACACCATAAGTATGGTTCTAGAAGAAGCTAAGAAGTAAACCAGCATTTGTGGGTTTATTATATACATCTCTACCCAGTCTGCTTCCTTCTTTACTAATTATGACATCCAAAATGGGTAACTTACTCTCTTTTTCTAACTCCATTGTGAATTTAGTCGCTTTATCCACTCTATTCATTAAACTAAGGAAGTCATCCAAACACTCTTTGCCATGCTGCCAGATAGCAAAGTAATCATCCATATATCTAATCAATAGTTCGGAACCTGGAGAGACTCTTGAAAAGGATAGACCTCCAATTGAGCCATGTAGCTATTAGCTAAAACTGGAGACAAACACGATCCCATAGATAACCCTCCTGTTTGTTCGTATAATTTATCATTAAGGATAAAATAGGTACTGTTCATTATTAAGTTCGTCAATCGCATAATTGACTCCTTGCTCATCCTATTTCCTGATATTATCTCTGAGTGTAAATCTAATGTATGTATTGGCCCACTTATGTATACATCTTTGTACATCAATACTAAATCAAAACTTATTAGAAAATCTTCTTGTTCTATTATTTACTCGTCTATTAACTTTATAAAGTTATAAGAATCCTTTATTGAAAATTTCCAAAACCTGAGATCAACTTTAATTGACCACAAATAATCGTGATGTTTTATGCATCCCACCATCCTTATTATTTACAATGATCCTAAGTGGGACCCCCTCTGTGGATTTTGGGCAGACCATATGCATTAGGAGGTCTAGCGTCAGTATCAATCTATTAAGGGATTATTCGAAACCCAGCATACATGCATGTAGGACAAGCATATGCCAGTCAATCAAATCATGGAATGCATCATTAAGATCGCAATATGAGGTATAAAAAGTAAATAGGCTCTCAGCTGGTCACCTTTTCTCAGTTTAATGTTTTTGGTGATTTTTCGTGAATAATGATTTTGGCTCTGACGATGTCCATCACAGGACGAATGAAAGCTCAGCATGGAGTCATCGGGGTTGTTAGACGGTAAGCCGGCAAAAGTCAAAGATAACCCTCTTGCGAAATCCAGTGAGGCCAATCTACGAATCCCTTCGACCCGCCTTCTCAAAACGAAATGAAAGGTACGCCAGTATCAACTTTATTACAAACACAAGCTAATAAGGACAGAAAAGTTGCTTTAAAAAGTGTCTGTATCGTGAATAGAACGTTTACTCCAGGTCTATAGTCAGTTTCGATAACCTAGTAGATACAAATATAAGTAATGCGGTCGATTATTGAAGCAAATAGAGGCTTGCTTTATTGACAATTGCACTAAAAATAGTAATATGGGAAATGCCCAGCTTTCCTTAATATGCAAGACTTCCGTGACCCAAGGGCACTTTTGGTAATGTTGCGCAGTGGTTAACGTGTCGAGGCCATAAGCTGGACTAACCGGGTTCAAATCTCATTCGGGGTGCTGATAAACGCGTGCGGAGTCAAGTTGCAGGCCACTATGAATAAGGGTAGCAATTCAACGGAAACGTGAGGCCTACTCGTATCGCTATGAGGAAATTGTAATATCAGTCCTTCATAATCATATGTGACCAAAGTTGAATACAGCTCTTGTTACGAATAGTTAGTCGGGGGAAAACGCTAATAGGATAGTGGCAACAAAAGAGAATATGCTGGCAATACAATGAAATTCAAAAATATGATAATTTGTAACCGGATATACAATTTAAACGATGGCTGTAAGAAAACCATTGCTGCGAGGAATTAAGTCAATGAGAATAATATAATTCCCTAAGGATTAATCTAAAGGAAGTTTCAGCGATAGAAGGAAGAGATAAATTCTAAGTAATTGTGTTTAATAAAAATTTAAACTTAAGCTAACAAGAAATATGCTTGTGTGCTTCAATCTTGCTTAATCGATAGTTATGAAGGCAAATTTACTCTTAAAAACGTCTTGAGAACAGTGGCTCCATGTCGTTGAGTGACTCATGTAATTTCTAGATTCCCACACAAAATATAAAAATACTTGAACAATGGTCAAGACAATAGTAGATATGAAAAACAAGATGTCTTGGCTTCTATTTTGACTGCAGTCCTCTTCAAAAGAGTAGTCTGACCTCGTTTTAGCAACTTGGTCGTGTTGTCAGAGCGACCTGGTTGGACGCATCTACTCCGAAGTCTGCTGTAGCAGTTATGATAATGTCCAGTGTTGGACCTTTGACTTGGTCTTAAATGGAGTTGCGCAAACGAGGTCAGGCCACTTATAATGATCACGGTAGTTCATTTATACGCTCCAAAACCATATGCTTAGGCTGGTAATGATGAGAGAAGCCTTTTCTTCGCTAATGAATTGCAATTATCCTATATTCTTAAAAGCTGTTCTTATAGAAAGTAGATAACACTTTAAACTGATGTTAAATAATATTACCGTCATCAGCAGGATGTAAATAAGGACCAGATGCCTTGCCACAAGTACAATTATTCACCGGAATTTCAACCAGCTCAAAAAAATGGAATATCAGTTTTACCGTGCAACTGTTAACGTTTTATTGGCTGACCTTTAGCTGAAGGCAGCATACGGAGAAGATAGGTGTCGAAAAGGGGACTGACTATGCCCGATTTCTTGACAGCATTGCAAGCAGCATGAGGCCCAAGAGCTGCAAGTATACGTTGGTTAGCCTCGTCAATAGTAATCACCTCTCCGAGGTATTCAGCAACTAGGCTGTCCTAAATGAGAGAATGCCCAAGCAATAGGGAAGTAAATAAATTAAATTAGATGACCTATGCACACAAAGGAGTCTTCTCAGCTAACTTGAATTACATTATTTTATAATCGAAGTTACGTAAGGCAAACATTATTCGATTATCGAATAAAGTTAATAAATTACGTTTCCTGTATTATAAACTGAATTAAACAGGGAAGCTTAAAGCTGTGGAATTGGGGCAGAAGAACATTGCTGCAAAGCTTGTGATATTACTTGTAAAGTCTGAGCTATAAGATTTGTAAAGAACCCTAGCCTTTCTCAGGAATAATGAGTATTAATGGTCATATGCATACATAAACATTTTGGGCTATACCAGAGTGAAAACAGTTTCTTTCGTGATTTTTAAATTCCAACCCTAGTCTATTGAAAATATGCCCATCTATCATATAGATTCAGGCCAAAGGATTTAATCATTAGTAAACACTAAGGACTTCGCTTGGTATGACGTTCATAGAATTGCTGCGTTACATCCTAGCGGAAATAATAAAATAAACACGAATCAAATCCAGATTATGATTTTGACTTCCGGTAGATAAATCCCTGGTCTTTTAAGCGAAACTGTGCATTTTCCTATTAATCTTTGAACAAGTAAACATATTAAAGTGTTATACAAACTCGAGTATGTACAGATGAACAATATTTCTCAATAAGTTCACTTGCCTCGGTAACATCAACCAAACTTTTAAGACCAAAACCCCGATTAACAGTGCGAATAAGGCCAAGTCTTAATTTTTCAGGTAAAATCTCAGCAAACCGACGATTAGTGCAGCTGCTGTCGCCTTGGCAAGCAGCCAAGCATATCCTTGAGTGGCATTCAATCCGACCAAGACGATTAGGGCACATCTGTTCAGCCGTACAGCAACCCGAAGTAGATGGTTGGTGAAGGTCACCAGCATCAAGCGAATCTTTGGAAGTGCTGCACGAACATGAGCCACGAATAACAGCCGCTGAATTAGATAGACCGGCACGAGCGATGAGCTGGATGATATAATAAACAAAAGAATAATACATATATAGAAAGCATATGGATCGATGCAAAGAGAAATAAATAAACCAATAATAGGGTAGAAAAATACAGGCAAGCCAAACAATACAAAAATAGGCAGAAAGCAATATAGGATGAAATGATACAAATAAAATGAATATTGGATTCCAGAGAGAAAGCTCACTTTTAAACCAGTGGCAGAGTAATACTTTAATCGAAATATGCCATAAATAACACATTTAGTCAGGATCACCCATATTGCACGGCTTACTTCCATATCAACGCCCGATATAATTGAGATCTGAAATAACCATAGTTTGGGAAAAATAAGATGCCAAAAAGCCCGGACTTAGCTACTCACCTGGTCGGCCTGTGAAGAAAAAGTGCATTCCGAAATCGTCTCGTAAGGACAAGTGATCAACAGGCTGTCACAAAGAACCTCAGTCTCAAGGCTCACTGACGCTTCGCCAGGCCCATAAAGCGAAGAGGAAGTGACACCGGCAGACGAGGACAAATGACATGCGTTCGGGGTAGAGTCGGGCTCAGATAGGCAGATCACATTGCCTGGCTGTGCATAAGAGGCTGGAGTAGGAGATGAAGCGGTTGCAACGGCACATGAAGATTGAGAAGGAAGACAGGCTGATGGTGCAACGATCGGTTTGTCGGGTGAGGCAGGAGGCACAAGTTCATGATCAGGCAGTCGACGTGCAGTCATGCTAACCAACAAAAGGCCACGTTGGAGCACATGATTCACATAAAGCTCGTGGACACGAGGAGCACGTGCTAGAGCTAAAGGAACATAGGAAATATGAGAAGTATTACAAAAGAGTGATATCTTTACTTATAACAGTACTTAAAACATTAATAGTTTATAAGGCACTAAGACTAAAAACGTCCTGTGCGTGAACGCATTGTCAAGTTATTAGCATTAAGAATAAAATTGACTACATGGTTGGTCGAGATGTTTGTCTGCTAGGAGGTTCACCAGTGAAGTGGTATTTTATCTAGCTCAAATGAAGGTGAAGAGCACTTTAGGCAAGTAAACTGCCTTTTCATGGGGATTCCTGG